TGTCTAGATATCAGGGCTAGGTTTATTCAGAGCTGTCTAGATATCAGGGCTAGGTTTATTCAGAGCTGTCTAGATATCAGGGCTAGGTTTATTTAACCCCATGAGCAATAGAAGAACTCATTCTTTAGCCCCAGAGAGATTATCCGATTTGTAATCACAAACCTCGACCCACGCAAGAGCTGTCTAGATATCAGGGCTAGGTTTATTTAACCCCATGAGCAATAGAAGAACTCATTCTTTAGCCCCAGAGAGATTATCCGATTTGTAATCAATCAAACCTCGACCCACGCATAACCTGTGTACATTTGAATATTCAAGCTGGGCCAACCTTTGAGGTCCTAGTTTGGACTCTACCCACTCTCCACTAAAAATTCATTATATCTTCGGTCAGAGTCCTGCAAATCACTGCAGTGAACACCGAAAACTTGGTTGAGGGTGTACCGCCAGTTTACAATCACTAAAGCGCGGCAGACCTGAGCTGTGAGTCCCATGGAAATATTTGTTTAAATTAACCGACCTCTCATTGGCCGAATCTCAAAAGAGATCAGTTAATCTAATGAGCTTAAACCATTCCGCTCATTTAAAAGTTATCCTCTCAAAATAATTTTTTTTAAAGATAAAAAGGCCTTTCACTTTTGTTGTTTTGATGTGAGAAAGGAATATATAATAATATATTGGCACTCAACCACGGGGAATAGAACGAGGAAAAAAGAAACAAAAAACTATTTGTTTATATACAAATATATATATATATATATATAGAAAAGAAGAAATGGAAAAGTTAAGTAATAAATAGTTAGTGTCTGTTGTGTATAATATATACTAAGCTCCGTGTGTTCAAAAATTTCCGATTTTTACTTTTCAGCATCAACTGCATATTGTCCTATAAACTGCATAGAGTCCTATCAACTGCATATTGTCCTATCAACTGCATATTGTCCTATCAACTGCATATTGTCCTATCAACTGCATATTGTCCTATCAACTGCATATTGTCCTATCAACTGCATATTGTCCTATCAACTGCATAGTGTCCTATCAACTGCATATTGTCCTATCAACTGCATATTGTCCTATCAACTGCATAGTGTCCTATCAACTGCATATTGTCCTATCAACTGTATATTGTACTATCAACTGCATATTGTCCTATCAACTGTATATTGTCCTATCAACTGAATATTGTCCTGCAACTGATCTATGAATCATCTTTTTATCAAAACTGTTCAACCATTATTAATTTTTAAATTTTTATCAGACAAAATAATTTTTGGATTGGATGTAAATAAACAGTGTGGAACTGCTGGTTCTTCTATATAATGTTAATTATGTTGTGCAATGCCAAGAAACTGGCCTCTTCTAATTTACATCCAATCATGAACTGCAGTCCAATCCAACACTCATAGATTAATAGAAAGGACAATATAGATCAGATCCAACACAAAAAAGATTAATAGATAGGACAATATAGATCAGATCCAACATCCATAGAATAATAGATAGGACTGTTTAGATCCAGATACACTCATAGATTACTAGATAGGACAATATATAGATACAATCCAATAATCATAGATTAATAGATAGGACAGTATAGATCCAGATACACTCATAGATTAATAGATAGGACAATATAGATCCATATACACTCATAGATTAATAGATAGGACAATATAGATCCATATACACTCATAGATTAATAGATATGACAATAAATATCCAATCCAACACTCATAGATTAATAGATAGGACAATATAGATCAGATCCAACATTCATAGATTAATAGAAAGGACAATATAGATCCATATACGCTCCTAGATTAATAGATAGGACAAAATAGATCCATATATATACTCCTAGATTAATAGATAGGATAATATAGATCCATATACACTCATAGATTAATAGATAGGACAAACTCATAGATTAATAGATAGGACAATATAGATCCATATACACTCATAGATTAATAGATAGGACAAAATAGATCCATATATACTCCTAGATTAATAGATAGGATAATATAGATCCATATACACTCATAGATTAATAGATAGGACAATATAGATCAGATCCAACATAAATAGATTAATAGAAAGGACAATATAGATCCATATATACTCCTAGATTAATAGATAGGACAATAAATATCCAATCCAACACTCATAGATTAATAGATAGGACAATATATATCAGATCCAACATCCATAGAATAATAGATAGGATAATATAGATCCATATACACTCATAGATTAATAGATAGGACAATATAGATCCATATACACTCATAGATTAAGAGATATGACAATAAATATCCAATCCAACACTCATAGATTTATAGATAGGACAATATAGATCCATATACACTCATAGATTAATAGATAGGACAAAATAGATCCATATACACTCCTAGATTAATAGATAGGATAATATAGATCCATATACACTCATAGATAGATAGGACAATATAGATCCATATACACTCATAGATTAAGAGATAGGACAATATAGATCAGATCCAACATAAATAGATTAATAGAAAGGACAATATAGATCCATATACACTCCTAGATTAATAGATAGGACAATTTAGATCCATATACACTCATAGATTTATAGACAGGACAATATAGATCCATATACACTCATAGATTTATAGACAGGACAATAAATATCCAATCCATCACTCATAGATTAAGAGATAGGACAATAAATATCCAATTCAACACTCATAGATTAAGAGATAGGACAATAAATATCCAATCCAACACTCATAGATTAATAGATAGGACAAAAAGGAGAATCATACGCTACAATACAACCATAAATTGATTGATTGGATTTTATATACTTTGTCTTGAAGGTAGAACTCTTGTTTGTTTTTGTTTTAGACTTTTTTCTTTTCCCGTTTTCTTTTCTGACAGAAGCAAGGAACAAATGTCTGAGACTGCAGATGCACAGCAGTCTGAATCAATGTGACCCTACTACCTTAACTTTTCCCTTCCTTTTATATTAATATTACTTTATGCAGTTTATCGTGATTGCTATAATGAATATCCTACAAGGAAGTATTTTTAAATTGAGGAAATTCGGTTTCTGCCGGTGGAAATACAGTGCACCGAATTTTGCAGGGTTTCGAATAATTTTACCGTTGTTGGTCACAATTATCATCATGCAAGATTTCCATCAAGAAATAACCTTTCCGCAGGAATGATCTCACGTTCAAAAAAGGGTAAAACCAAGGAGAATTGAATATAAGGAGGGTGCGATAGGGTTTCCGTACACTTTGCTGTGACGTTTTTGTTTTATATACTTTGTCTTGAAGGTAGAACTCTTGTTTGTTTTTGTTTTAGACTTTTTTCTTTTCCCGTTTTCTTTTCTGACAGAAGCAAGGAACAAGTGTCTGAGACTGCAGATGCACACAATGTTCGCAGTTTTTTTTGATCAACTCTTGAATTTCGATCAATTGGGTTTCGATCATCTGGTATTCTAATGAATTGAATACGATTATTATGTACTTAACTTATATAATGATATTTTCTTGGATATTTCTTGGACACTTAAACCAGCATGGTTGAGTGTGATTTAATCAGTTATCCAAAGGTTGCAAGCTCTAGTGTAAAATTCGATCAGCATTTTGCCAATTATTTCTTTTAAATAAAAGCTAGAAAGGTTATAAAATGTTCATGTCTATGGCTACAAAAAAATCATAGCTGAGGAGTGAGGAAAAATGAGAAGCCAAGACGTAGCGACACCTTAAGTCGACCAGATCTGGAAACATGAATGCAACTTTTAACAGCAGTCTGAATCAATGTGACCCTAATACCTTAGAGAACTTAACTTTTCCCTTCCTTTTATATTAATATTACTTTATGCAGTTTATCGTGATTGCTACAGGGGTCAATATAATTCCCTTTTCAATCCCATTTGGGATTGACAAATTTGAAAGAAATGGGGGCAAATTCTTTAATTGGGGGCAAATTTTTTTTATATGATAATTTAAAAAAAAATTGGGGGCATTTTTTTTAAAAATTGGGGGCATTTTTTTCAAATTGGGGGCAATGGGGGCAAATGTGTTAGTGGAATTTGAAAAAAAAATTTTAACTGGGGGCATTTTTTT